TCAACAAGACTGTCAAAGAATTAAAAAAAAAAAAAAAAAAAAAAAAAAAAAAAAAATATGTGCACTATAAAATTTATTATATTAAATAATTTAAATTAATAAACAATTTTAATAAATTTTTTGTCTTATTGAATAGTATTTTTTGTTACCAATTTATAATACAATACAATCAATATTTTTAAGTTTATTATATATATATTTGCATATTAACAAAATAAAGAATTGAATTATTTGTAGTTTGAAAATTACAAGACTTAGTATAAAGAGTAAATTATATCTGTATAAATGCAAATGAATTTACTATATAAATATTACAACACTATTTGTTTTTAATTTTGTGAAATATCATTAAGCAGCTAACCATATATTGTTAATAAACTTTTTAGAAAATTAAAGATCAAAACATATAAATATGTTAATTACATGGATATAAAATACTTTTTACATGGTTTTTTTCACTAATTGAATTATGTATACTTATTAATAATATGCACAATGTGCTCTATATGCACATAGTTAATATTTTATTAGTAAATTTGGTGCACTATGTTTTTGAAAAGTTGGTAAATCATGTGCACATTCCAGGCCAAAAATATATAAAATTTTTCAAAAATATGTGCACTGAGCATGCTGTGCACATAGATTTTATACACTGCTTAGAGGTACACTTGTCTGTATTCTCTACACACAAAAGCTTTTGCAATTCAAGAACTTTAGCTTCAGTTGGTGTGACATTTTTATTTCTTGTTCTCTTAAAAAAAGTTTGATAATGATAGAAAAAAAGATAAATTCAATTGCTAAAATAAGTAGTTAAAATTCTTTATATAGAAAAAGTATAAATACTAACCAGAAGTTTAATATTAATTATGTAATTTATGGGTTGTATATTGTACTCTTGAAATAACAAGAATATACTTAACATTCCTAAAATTTTACATCAACAACATTAAATTAAACAAATAAATAATCTTTTAAAGACACTTATAAATGAATACTCAACTAGCATGAATAAGTTTATTACTAAAGTTCTAGATAAAGAAATTAATGAACTATTTGAATTAATACAAGCTATAAAACTGAATTAATATTTTACTATACATGAAAGAACAATTAAATCTAATGATTTTTTTTCAAGTTCTTTGCTTAATTATAATAATTATAATTTAAGCAAATTACTAGAGTTAGTAAAAAAACATTCTGGTATATAGAAAGTTTAATTCGCAATAATCCTGTTTTTTTAAATAATTCTAAACATTTGCAAAAACCAATTTGACAACAATTGGCAGTAACTTTAGAGCACTTAGATTGTAATAGAAATAGTACTTCTGTAGAACAATTTGCTAAACAGTGGGGCTTAGAAATTGGCACTGTAGTTGAGTATACAAAACATATAGTAACAGCAATTAATTCAATTAGAAATACATATATACAGTGGCCTGATTCTATTGAGCGACAACAAATTAGTAGTAGAATAGAGCATTTATCTGGATTTAAAGGTTGTGTTGGATTTCTTAATAAAACTGATTTTGTACTTGAATACAAACCACTAAAAGATGAAGAAACTTACTATAATAAAAAAAAGAAATATGCTCTAACTGTACAATTAATTTGTGATGAATTAAAATTCATTCAATTTGCAAACTTTTGATGGCTAGAATCTGTTACAAATTCAACTGCTTATAAATTTACTCCACTATATCAGAAATTACTAAATTTTTTAGTAAATATGAATATGTTTTGGCAAATTGTGGTTATCAGCTTACTCCAACAACAATAATCTCTTATAAACAACTACAAGCTAATATTTATACAAATGCAATTTTTAATGAAATGCTTGAACATGTTAATAGTATTTTAAAAGGAAGATTTGGATATTTAAATGGAATTAGAACACAAATTTTATCTAAAAAATATTTAAAATTTGTTTTAGATATTATTAAAACAACAATTATTCTTTATAATTTAATATTAAAAAACAAAAATATTTGGAAAAAGTATAAATGAAACAAATTCAAATTTAACAATTTCAAATAATTTATTAAATAATAATTTAAATGAAGAAAGTAAAAAATATAAACATATACAAAATCTTGTACTTCAAAAAAATAATTTGTAATTCAAATATTTATATATAATATAGGCTAGGAGCTAGAAAAAAGAACAAAAATAACAATTTTTTTAAACTAAATTTTTTTACATAAATTAATTTAGAATAAGATTAAAATCTTTTTTCACTTATGACACAAAAGTAGTTGTATTAATAAAATTTTGCAGTATAGCTCTTTAAATTTTGTATTTTCTTATAATCTATTATAAGATTTATAACACAAAAATTGATTTTCTGAAATCTTTTGTTTTGTTGATTTCATTCCTTTTTCCAGTACCTAGCCTATATAGAAATAATAATTATATTAAAGTATACTATAATTAATTATTATTATAATAAATGCAAATACAATTTTTTTTTATGTTGTTAAGATGAGGCCTTGCTCATATCTTTATTAAGTAATTTATACAAGGGATTATATTAAGACTATATAACTACTTAATTTGTATACAAACAAAAGAATATAAATCATATTCAAGAATAAGAGCTCAGACTAAAAGCTCAACTAAAACTCAACCAAAATAGAGTTTATAGTTAAACTAATTATCTGTGACCTAAACCTACTAGAGTGGTCAAGACTCATCTAGGTTTTAATAGTTAGTATATAGTTAGAAGATCTACTATATTGGATCTATAATGTAGACTAGAGATAGACTTTTTGTTGTCCTTTGGTAGGACACCTTTTCTCCTTAATAAATGCAAATACAATATAAATTGCTTTTTTAAAATTACATTTATATTTTACAAATTATTAAAAAATCTAATATCTGTAAATAATTTTCCTTGGCATACAAGTTCTAAAAAAATATTATATTGTTGATTTTTTTTATTATTTGTTTCTTCTTTTTTATTTTTTTCTTTTTCTAGTTGAAGTTTATTTTTTTCAATTTTTAGTTTTTCTTCTACTACATATTTTTTTAATTCAGCAATGTCTTTTTCAATTGTTATTTGAACTTCTTCAATTTTAAGACTTTTTTGATTTGATATCTTTAGAATTTTTTTTTATCTTTGTTTTTGTTTAGTACTATCAAGCATTGACATTTAGATAAATTATTTTTTAAATTATATTTTTGCTTATTTGTATTGGAATTAATTTTGTTAGATTCTTCATCTATAATTATTTATTTTATTAATAATTAAATACATATATAGATATAAATATTACATATATAAATATAATAAATACCAGTTGAATCCTTCTTTTCTGTTTCATAATTGCAATTATTACTATTATTATTATTAATTTCTTTTAAATATTATTTATTAGTAATTATAAAATATTTTTTATTAAATAATTTAAAACAACTTATTTATGATTTGATATAAATAAATCATCATTATCATCATCCAAAGTAAATTCATCTAATATAAATGACAGTGAAGTTTTTTCCATTTATCTATTTTTTTTTATTATAATAAATATTAATTTAATTATTTAAATAAACTTATAATATAATATATAATAACAAATTATATATTACTATTTTCTAATTCACTCTCATTATCTATATTATCATTATTATTAAAATTAAATAAATTATTTCTTTGATCTTGAATATTATTAGAATTATTGTTATTTTCTAACTCTTTTTCTTTATTTATATTATTGCTACTATTATAATTAGATAAATTATTTTTTTGAACTTGAGTATTATTAGAATTATCATTATTTTCTATAAAATATATATATATAATTAATAGATTTTACAAAATTTAAATTATATTATTACATATTTAAAATATCTTTAATATAATTTTAATTGCTCAAACTAAAGTTTTCTAGATAAGTTGGTTGAACATTTTGCTTTTTACTATAGATTATATCGATTCTACTATAATATGGACATAGATCTTCTAATTTAGCTTCTATAGTATTTATTTTATTCTCATAATCTTTTTCTGTTAATCCCAATCCTGACTTTTCAGTTAATTTTCAAGTATCAATATATGTTTTTTTGTAAGTTTTCTATCGACCATTTGCAAGTTTAGTATTTCAATTACTGTTTTTGCAACACTTGTTTACAAATAAAGCCATTTGTGCATATATAGTATTTTTTGTTACAGGTTTACCACTTATAGAAAGACTAGTCACTGCTTTTCCATCAATAATATTTTGATTTTCTGGATTTTTAATAAACATCACTATTGCAAGTTTTTGATCTTTAGTAGTTTGCTTGAAAGTTCTCTTTGGAGGCATAGCAATATATAAAAAAACTTAAATAATTTGAGCAAAGGTTTAGTAAATAATTTGAGCAAAGATTTAATAAGTAATTTGAGCAAAGGTTTAGTAAATAATTTGAGCAAAGATATAGTTAAATATATAAAAAAAAATACCTTAAGTAAAGGTCTAGTAAGTAATTTGACCAAAGGTTCAATAAATAATTTAAACAAAGGTTTAGTAAGTTATATAAAAAAATAATTTAAGCAAAGGTTTAATAAGTAATTTGTGCAAAGATTAAGTAAATAATTTGAGCTAAGGTTTAATAAATAATTTGAGCAAAGGTTTAATAATAATTTAAGTGAAAGTTTAGTAAATAATTTAAGCAAAGGTTTAGTAATTTATATAAAAAAAATACCTTAAGTAAAAGTTTAGTAAGTAATTTAGACAAAGATTCAATAAATAATTTTAGTGAAAGTTTGGTAAATAATTTGAGCGAAAAGTTTTATTATTCTGTATTTTGTATTGTTTTGATCTGTATAGTAAAAAATTTTTACTTATTTTATCAAATAGAAGTCTCTAAACACTCACATTTCATTTTCTGATTTCACAATTTTGATACACAAACAAGATTTTTAAACTCTTATTTATTTCTGAAATACATTATTTTTTTCAATTCTGAAACCTCTTAATGAGAAAATAATTCAAATATAAATAAAACTTTAATTATTAAAATTCTCCTGAATAAACCTAGAAATTTTAAAATTCAATTATTAAAATTCTCTTAAATAAGCCTGACAATTTCAAAAATTCTTATAATAAAAATAAGAAATTAATTCAAGTAAAATAATATTTGATTATTAATATATTCTCAAATATAATTGGCAGTTAAAGCAATTACAAATGTATTGTTTAGCTATTGCTTTATTAAAAAATATAGAAAATTTCTAGTTAAATAAAGCAACAATTATCTACATTACAATTATTTTGGTAAAGTAATTTTAATTTCTACTTTACAATTGTTACAATTTTCAATAGTAACTCAGGATAGAATTTGAACTAACTGAAGGAATAATTTGTTGTGTTTTTTCCTCAACAATCTGAATATCTGATAAGTAATCATCATGTGATTTAAATAGAAATGCTTTAGTATTGATAACTTGAATATTAGATAGGCTATTATTATGTGATTTAAAAGGGCTTATAAATAGTTTAAAAGCATTATATGGTTTAAATTTTCTTGCTGCTTTAATTCATTTTTGCAGAATTGAACTTTGATGGTTTGAAGATATAGATACTAAAGATTATGTAGTATCTTTATTACTTGAAAGAAAAGCTAATAGAGATTGAATAAAAGCAGTATCTTAATTAGGGAAGTGTCATTTATCAGCTGATTTTTTGTAAATAGTAAAATTTCCCCCTCCCCCAAATGATTTCGATTATATATAAACATATACGCATGTGATCTATTAGCATGATATTTTGGCACCCACTCCTCTACTAAAAAAATCAGATGATAAATGACACTTCCCTTATTTGAAAAAGAAGCCAATTGAGATTGAATAGTAGTAATTTCTTGATTATTTAAAAAAGAAGCTAATAAAAATTAAATAGAAGTATTTAAAAAAGCATAAAAATTAATAGAAAATTACTTAGTATACATGGTGTGTTTGAAACACAGGTATAATTTTATAATTAATTTTTATTAAAAAATATAAAGTAAACAGTAATAATTTTAATTAATATCAGAGTT